ATCATATTTATCGGAACCAGAAAAATGCTCTGAATTCAGAAAATACTCAGTTCTATAGCCAAAGCCCATGGTTTAGTCCCATCCGCTATCTCTCAGGACTTCAGCCAAAGAATCCAGCTTTGTCCTCACAGGGTAAGCCATCTCCAGAATGCTTCGGTGAAACAGCAGCAGTACTATTTGCACGTAAGGCACAGGGTGATCTCCTTACACATTACAGGGTCTGCCTGCCTGCCCCGTACAAAGGTTTCCATTCATGCTGCTATTTTACCGCTACCTAGTCAATAGGGGTCACTGTACAAGGAAAATGTTTATAACTATCCTACATTAAGTTTTATTAGGCTTTCACTTAAAAAGACTCCCTGTATGAATGCAGTAGGATAGCTCTACACAAACTGAGAGTATCAAATGCTTCAGAAGCGAGTATCAAATACTTCATATATTTACTATTTACACTGCCTTGGTTTTACTACAAAGTGGCTTTCAGAACACTATAATCATTTTCTAGATTTTTTAAATGCCTAATTACTCAACCTTTCCAATCCAACTTCTTCATCGACTTTTGAAAGGACAGCTCTTATTTTAAACTACTCTTAAGACAGATTTTATCATACAGTGTATGCAACCTGTAAGGCAAAAACTTTATACTAAGTATATTATGTGCAATTCAGAAATATCAAACTGGATTATAATCATTCCTGTTCAAGCAACTAAGTCTCCTTAGCGCACACAGATTTTGCAAGATAGGGGGGTTTATGCTCCATTTATGGCCAGCACTGTGTAAATACTCTCCAATCATACCACTCTTACAACAACAGAAAGAAAGGGTGCTTTTTATTTTTCCCTGTGTGCAATGTTTCTACAATGCTCATAGCCTTTGTACAAGAAAGACCATTAGTTTCTATATAAAGACTGCCATAAAAGTTTTATAGTTTCTATAAATGTATAAAGATTGTTGGTTTCATTATAAACTCTGTTTCAATGCCAGCGGAAAGAAAAATTACTAGCAGAATAGAAGTAGCAATCTGCATAAGTACCAGCTTGCAAGCATGCATACCTCAGTCATTCTCATAGTAATTAACTGATATATACAATAGTTCATCAAATTATAGACAGGTCATCATACCTACTTGAAGCAGTTCACAAATGGGAACTATCACAACATAATTTTTTCTTTCCGTTCCAGATGAGCTATAAAGATTTTAAAAGTAAGTAACTGAATGATGCACTACTCAGAAAAGGTAATTTTAAAAACACATTGTGTTTTACAAAATGGTGTAATTCATGCTACACTTCCATTGATTGTTTGGCTATTTCCTATTTTTATATATTCACACATCAAATATTTGCTGAAACGTCGTTTCTATTAGACATCCATATCTTTGCAATAAACTTCCTTGTATTAAAATTAGTTAGCTCAGGATAGCTATTAATCTTGGGATTCATCTTCAAAAGAGTGGACAGCCAAAACTCATATGGTGATAAGGGTAAAACCACTCAGCCATAGTTTGGTACTTATAATATTCCAATAGCACAGGATTTCACCTACAAAAAGTGAACTTCTTCACTATAGCTTTATTAGGAACCCAAACCAGAAAACGTAGTAATACACAAGCATTTTTCTGCTAGGCCATTGACTTTTTTTTTTTTTTAAAGGATAGTTCTGCCTATAGCAACTGTATTTTATGAAGAGTAACTAAGAGTTCTCATCTGTTTTAAATTCCAAGACCATTGATAAAAAGCTAGCACTGAAAAACTGTTGCTTATAATGCCAACAATTACTGGATTTCACGTTAGGTACAACCACATATCCGTAAATACACATTTTATTCTTAAAAGCTATTATAAAACACCCTAACAAGTTAATATGTTCTTATATTTAAAAATGTATCTCAAGATTACTTCAGCCCCCCTCCTGTCATTCAAAAAAAGCCCCCTAGTTTTAACCATTTCTAGTGGCCTGGAGCAATCATTAGCATTTTCTTTCCTTAGTAAGGCTCCTAAGATACCTTGTCTATGACATTTTCTATAAAATATTCCGTTATACAGTTATTTAACAGATTTAAACCGTAGATGTCATTGTGGTCTGAACGTGTCAAAGACAACTTGAGGGCAAAAAATCAGGACACGCAGAATTCACTTTGTCAGTAATTACAATCAAAATTCCTACAATGTGGCTAGCCTGCTCATTACTTCCTTACTTTGTATCAAACCCCTTATTTACATTTCAGATTACATTTTTCATGAAACAGTAACATCTATCAGAGCTGAGAGGACTGAAATAATGAGGGAGAAATATTTTAATAAAACGTGTTGGGTCTGCATTACTTCCGTGTCAGAAAGAAAGGTTTCTTCTGTAGCGATGGATCATTTATTCTGTCTCTAAATGAGAAGCAAAAGATGAAACTGATGAACTTTTACTGCCCATTTGTCTTTAGCAGACAATTAAGACAGAAGATCAAAATGGATTATCATACCACGCAGACAACTGGCCCAACAGTAATACATCTCCGGGACCACAGATTTGTAACTCTCTTTTATCCCTCCCCTTTCTTCTTACTCCTTTTTCCTCTCTAAAGGCAATGCTAGCTTTGTGGCTCAAGGGGAGCCAAAAGGCTGGTCATCATTATTCAGTCACAGATGTCAATCTAACCTCCCTTTTTTCTCAGTTTCTAAAGCAGTGAGGCACAATAATTTGTGACAGATTCTTTTACTGTAAGGTACAAAGAACACACAGAATAAAACATCTAGCAGCAGCGAGGGTCTCTGATCAGATGTGCTGGTACATGGGAAATACAGTGTATGTAAAAACAAGCACTGATAGTTTAGATGAATAAAAAAAACTTGAGGTGGTTTTTTTCTCTTTTTTTTTTTTCTTCTTACTAATAAGTGTTTTACCTTGTGTTGATTTAACTCAAATATTCCTTCTGGATTAAATCATAAATGTTTGATTGCTAGAAACAATTTTTGCCTTCACTAACATGCATATTAGACCGCCCCTTTGCATACAGAATACAGGCAGAAAAATCAAGGGTTTCGAAGTGTGTATCTTTATCTTCAGTGATTTAGCACTTTTGAAATTTTTTTTCTTCCAAAAAACAATAAGCCAGAAGTTTTAAGAAATAAACATACTTGACTGATTCACAGCTATACATTTCTCAGAGCTCTGGATTAACCAGGAAAAACATAGATGTAGCTCTTCCTTTCTATGTTGGTTTTTTTTCCTCCTCTGGTTTACTTGAATATTCACAAGTAAGCAATTTTTTCAAATCTAAATCTGTCAACTCTGGACATGTACACTGCTTAAAGAATGCATAGCTACTATCAACACAGAAAATATTCCTTCTGTGCATCAAGAGGGAAAATATTTTTTAAATCTACTTGAGTTTGACAAGTTTGGCATCCTTTCTTTTGCTTTCCCTGTGAGTTTGTATACGCAAAATATTTCATGATTTAAAAATCCATCCCATCCCCACAAACACACTACTGTGTATTTTGTTGGGTCTGACATCAGAGGTCAGAAATTCTGACTGTAACTGGGTGAACATCTTAAGAATTATATATGAGCCTGTGGCTCCTCTGAGTTTGATTCAGTCTTGCATATTCATAGCAATATTATACAAGTCTAATCATTTGCAGCAGAAGGAAGAGGACTGTTAAGAATTTTATAAAGCAAATTTTACGTACAAGACCATCCTGTAATACCTTGATCATGGACACAATTGACTGTACCAGCTCTGAAGGACCATTAGTTCACATATGACTAACCTGACATGCGCTAATGTGCTGAGTAGTAGTTAGTCTGTCACGTAAATACAAACTTAGGGATCTATTTATTCACCAGTTACAGACCGACAGCGGCAATAAGGATGTAGTCTCCCAAAAAGTTCAGTTCCATGCTATACTTCGTGTGCAAAGGAAGTCCTAATAATAAACTACAGTGAAAAGCAGTCAGGTAGCTCAATAGCTGCTTTGAGAAAAAAAAATTACTACTACTACAAAAACACCCAGAAGCCCTGGTCAAGGTCCCATTGCATAGAGTGATTACAGCCAAATATGAAAACACTTGTTCTGGCCCTGATGAACCATCACATCTAACAATTTGTTAAATGCTATAGTCTAAATGCCACAAAAATTCATGTTGCATGAAAATGTAATTAGAGAGAAAGGATCCAAAATAAAATAGCTCTGCTGACCCCACCTCAAATATCAGAGACTCAGAGGCAACATTTATTGTTGTATTAAATAGTTATACAATGCCATAACTTCAGCACTTCCCAGAAACAAAGGTGCAAGAAATCAGCTTGCACTCACAGCCCAGATGCAGCAGTTACCCTAAACGCTGACAAACAATCACAGCGCATTAACTCCAGCAGTACTTATAGACACCACAGTAATAATCCCCTCTCCCTAACCTCTGACCCCTGCCCCAATCCACTTCTAATGAGACACAGTAAAATACACGGCAACTTCAAGTTGTAATTTCAAAGTCAGCTAGAGATCCCGTGAAAAATTCCAGATTCAATCTGCGTACGAACTCACTGATAAACACCTCTGTGTTCTACCTGCACATTTGTATTTTTATACCATCTTTTTGAACAGACTAGAGACTGCCCGATCAGGCAAGAATGTAAAAAATGTACTGTAGTGCCAGGTGCCCAGTTAAATATAGCTATAAACCTTTCAGACAATGAAGTGAGGACTGCCAAATGAACTGCAGGCTGTGGCACCTGAAGGCAAAAAGTGAAATTTATTAATCAATTTTCCTTCCCGCTCTCATGTTCTCTTGTAAAAACTAGATCGTAAAACAATCTTATGAGATTCAAAATTCTTCCGTTTTCTGCTTTAAATGTAAAAATGTTTTTATCCTTCTGCTCCTAATTACAGCTTCTTTTTCTTTTTAAGAATACATTTATCTCTCTCAGTAAAAAGAGCAGCAATAATATGTTGAACAACCCTGAAATAAATTTTGTCATGTAAAAAATTAATTACGCATTCCAAACCTGGTCACTGTAGCCCTCTGGGAATTGCCTCCGCACCTCAGGATCTGTAAATAATTGACAGATAATATTAATTGGCTTTGGATTAGTGAGCAAGCAGAGAATCACACATTAATATTTGATCAGAAGATGATAGCAACCCTGGCAGGGGATCCAAGGAGGGCAGCTGAGGCTGCTATGTTGATAAGAGCAGGGAAGGACTTTTCAAGGCTCTCCCTTTACCCTCCTCCAGAAAGACAAAAACTAGATATAAAACATACACACACAAAACCCAGGAAACCAAAAATGTCTGTGTGTACATACACATGTATATCCACACAGACGTGTCTGTAAACACACATTTCTAGAGAAGTTATTTTATAAGAGATGTCCTGGTGCTACACCGACCTTCAGGCTGTTACCTTGTGCAATATCTTTCTGGCTGCAATTTGCCAGCTAGGCTTGGCACCAGAAAGTGGTTACCAAATGCACAGAGCTTATTCTCAATCAGATAACTAGTTTTGCCAGCTATAGGCACTGTGTTGTTTAACCTCCGGAGACCGTTTTCAGTGATACCAGACAACAAATCTCTCAAATTTACTTTATATTAATACTAAGGTATGCTCCCTAGAAAACCATAATATTTATCTAGAATTTGAAAGAGGTGATTAACATAATATTAATACTAAGGTATGCTCCCTAGAAAACCGTAATATTTATCTAGAATTTGAAAAAGGTGATTAACATAGCCCTGGAACTTCTGTCATCAGGAAAACAAATGTGAAATGCTTCAGGTTAGCAAGCATTCGAGACTGATGCAATGTCCTTATTCCTTCGGCTGTCAGAACAAATAACATGGTAGTATTCCCTGAGAAGTTATCTTAAATTTAAATAGAGATGTTCATAAAACAACAGAATATCATGATTGAAGTTATTTGTATGACAACCTATTTAAAACAGAACTCTTCAAAGCCATCCATTTTTCAAAGGAATATGGCTGAGAAGACCAGATTCCTTTCTACAAAGAATTTTTTTAATTACAAAAAAACCCAAAATACAAGCCATACAACAATCACACAAGAGTTCAGAATAAAGTGTAATGCATGGAAAAATCAACTGGTATCCTAGGCAGTCTCTACTCTTTGTGCAACCAGGTGGGCTGGGTTGTATGAGGCTTGGCTCGCTGCATACACTGGTTCCACAAATGTTGGCCATGATGTAGGGAGGGACGTTCCCCCCACAGCCTCTACTGCTGACTTACTGCTATACTGGATTGTAGCTAGGGCTGGAGGGGAAGAGAGCCGTTTTTATGACACAGGCACCATACGCGGTTATTTCAGAGTAGTCCCACCCCAGATTTCTCATTGGCAAAGGTTACTTTAGGCAATAAATTAGTTGATCGGGGATCCAATCATTAGCAGATGCAAACTTTCTATTAAGGTGTATTCTTTTTACATTAGAAATACAGCAAGACTGTACGTTAATTAACTTTCTAGCTTAACTTTTTCCAGACAATCAGATGCTCAGTTTTAACATTTCATCATTATACAGATACAATGACACACACACTATATCAAGTTTTACATATGCATACCAGCAAACCCTTGTACATTAACGAAGTAGAAATAGAAAGCAAGGGATCACCTTTTAAAGCCTTAGTTTGAAAATTCTTAAATCTATAGGCAGGTAAGCACGCTAAGCTAAGTGTCCAAACACGCAAACAAACGCGCTGAACTCCATGAACAGTCCTTTACACACAGTTAACAATGAACAGTTTCATATTTCACCAAAGCAAGCGCAGTATCAGTGGTAAGAAGAAACTATGCAACATCTATTATGATGCACATTCTTAAATATTTTTCAATTTAATTATTTCAGGCTAAACTTTCAGGATTTCACAGAAAACACAAAACAATGAAAGAAAGAAGTGTTACATCCAAGTACATAGTATTGCTTAACAAATCTGTAATGGGGCCTGGAACATGGTACTGACATTACACACACACTTCTATTGACCCATTGCTCTCATACCCAATATAAATATATATACACATACTGACACACACAGCATTTTATCATTTACCATTTATTAAGGAAATGAGAAATCAAATTGGGACATAAATCCATAGTGTTAGCTCTAAACACATTCCTCCATAGATGGCAATCCACATTCTCTGTTCTTTAAAAATACAACAAAACAGATTAGTCACACAAAGTAAGTGTGTGTGTTTGTAAGCATGTATTTTTCCTGTTTTCTTAGCATCTTGAAAGCCTTTCTGTGTTTCAGGAGCTCACTGGCATGAAGGAGGGCCTATAGGAACTTATTTGACAGTATTTATGTAAACCCCGAAAGCTCCTAGCCAGATGACCCTCCAGAAGACAGAGAGGCATTGTGCACCACTTTGCAAGATACTGAGATTCACTCCTAACACTGGTAGCTGAAAGTTATCATGGGCAAATACATACATGCTGGTGCTTTTATTGTCTCAGAGGCCACCTTACAAACCTTCCTCATCAAAACAAAACAAAACACAACTTAGATAATAACTTAAAAATCACAGCCAAGGCTTTTTTGTTAGGCTCTTTTGGTTTTAATTTTAGCTTTGTCTATATACATCCATTTTCATTCAGAGTGTTTACTTAAATGTTTGTTCTTACAGAGGATTGGGATTTTTTTTTTCCTGCCTCTCAAAAACGTATGTGCCATCAAGAAATAGGGGTGAGCAGTGGCCACGGAAAACATCGTGTAAAATAAACAGAAAAAACACTCCCTGTTCCATCCATGTCCCTAATACAGGAAAGTCAAAATAAATCAACTTACAACAAACCAAAAGATTTCCACTGTCCTCATCTCTTACAAGAACCACTACATTTTATGCATCAGTTGACTGGACTATACACTGATCAGGATTTAGCAAAATTCTCAATGTTGACTCATTCACAGCCATTGTTGACGATGCAGAGTGCAGTGCATAATTAAAACACAGTTATAGTGATTACCAATACAGAGTAACAAACAATAACACCCCCCGCCATCACTACATCAGAATCTATACCTCCAACCCTGCTTTAAGATCAATAGCCAGTAATGGAGGATATTTCAATTTTCAAAGCTACCCAAATGTTTAATTGATCTGCTACCAAATTATTTTCCTAAATTATTTCAGCAATTAAGCATTTCTGAATATTTATTCTTTAGGGTTAAATACACACTAGCGAAAAATCAGTGAGTTGTTAAGATCTTTACAACACACCCAAAATCAGATCAGCTCTATCATTAGCTTAAAACTGTTGCTTCTGAAACAAAATGTTGTCCTGTGCTCTCGCCACGGAAAGAATTGCGACGTGTCCTTTCTGGAAAGGCAGCAACATTTCAGCCTTTGCTGTCCATCCCTACGGCTTCCTCTCCGCGCACAGAGGGGGTGGCGATACCAACAGCCGTCTCCAATATCGCTGGGTCAGGCTACGTGCCAACGCAGGAGGCTGGCCGCCACCTTCTCTTGAGAGCAGGCAGCGAGGATGCATTACCTTTTGCTGCTGTGGTTCGCGTACCGCAAGAGGCAGGTATGTGCATTTTAAGAACCCTTCCTATAGGTCACCTAGCCCAGTTACTCATAAACTGCGAGTAAATATTTAGAATAACTTATTTTGTGTCTTCAGTGAGCTTGGTAATAGGAGAAAACTGAAGATGACCCAAACACCCACAAAACCACAGGTATAGATCTTATTGAAACGGGCCTTTTAAGCAATTCAGTAACACAAAATGGGGAGTTTCTAAACTTTTACACATAGTTTACTGACTGTAGTAAAATTTTTACTTTGCTATTACATACTGGTTTTCTATATCTCTTAACTAGTACCATTCCACTTTTACTTGTCTGTTGATCTGTATCCTAAAGGCTAAATTATTTCTACCTCTCTAAAATCAGACAGTAAAATACACACATGCAAGGCTCAGTAAGAAGACAAGGACATTTGCTGGATGCTTGCTGTGCTGTGCAGACTTCAAGCAACTGTAGTCATCATGGTTTTCAAGACTAAGCAAACTGAGAACGTCTGAGTCTGGTCTTTGGTGAACTGATCTCTTCACATAGGTAGCACTATTTCACTCATCAGATTAAACATTACCACATTGTAGTTCAGAAAAAGTTACACCTGTGATTAGAGTCACCACCTAAGTCACCTTCTACAGGTTCAAGATGAACGTGTTCTCAAAGCACACAGTCTACAGTTTTATTTTCATCCAAAAAACGGATCTCACAATACTACAATACATTCATAACTTAAGTTGCCTTTAATATAAATAAAAATTTCCTGTGTCAGTCAACTGCATACATTAGAAGAAACTTGATTTCATCCACAATGCATGAAATGCATTGAATTAACTTAATTTCTCATTCACCAATTTAAATGGAAATAACAGCAATGTTGTACTTAGCTGAATGAGCAAAGCACCATGTGGAATTGTTCTGGGTGTCACGTGCCTGTTATGTCAGTGGGACACAGTCTGTATACAGTCTGCTTTTGATGCCACATCTCATAACAGCATCAGAACGGCTAATCCATATAACCTGGAACTCTACAGCTAAGAAAACCACCTTTAAATTATGCCTGGCAGCTCCATGCTTGCACGTCACTGTGTTTTTACAAGTACTTTATATTTAACATTGCATCAGCTCCATCACTTCAGCTTTTAAATGGGAATATTTACTAAACTTTCAGTATCTTTATTTGGAAAAATAACGGAAAAAGAAACTACGTCACCTCTTATTACAGTTTTCATCACTTTATCCATTCTTCATTGTTAAGCTAATGTTCACTGGGAAGGTGTTTCCAACTGCGCTTACCTATACATACACACACAATAAAATTATATTTAAATTCTCTGTGTCATTACATAAAGTTCGAGGAAGCTCGAGCACCCTCCCTAAACCAAGAGGATTTACATAATACACATCCATTGAAATAGTGGCCATAAAGAGAGGTGACTTGATGAAATATAAACATCTACAAACAAACATTACTATTACTCAGTATGGTCAGGCTCTCCATTGGAAGGATGAGCACA